TTGCTTTATCTTGTTTAAATATAGTGGTCCGTGCTTAATATTTTTGTCATTATATTTTGTTATAAATAGATTTTTGTTATCAGGATCATTCTTGTCTGAAATAAAAAACCACCCATAATAATATTGTATTTGTATGATGAACAACATGTTTGTATTATATACTGAAATAGAGCATTCGCCTACCGATGAGGTGACACAGGTTTGAATCCCAGCGGTAGCTAGTTGATACGAATTCTGCTCTCGGCTTTATCACTAATTACAGTGCTGATGAAAAATATCCTCAATGGTAGACAGGTGATGGGTTAGAATTTTGTGCTGTCAGGCTAACCGTGGGAGGATTCATGGTTTTTCTCATCATGTAATTCAAATGTGGATTATTTTCGCAAATGCTTGTTTATCCCAATGCTTGATCCAGGAGCTCCTTTGTCTTCTGGGTTCAGTTCAAAACTATCAAGCTACTGAGAGTTGAACATAGATAGTCGTAAACTCATATTTGACTCGACTGTTCAATCCCGGTTACAAAATAAAATAAAACCAATAATTCAAAAGAAGATGCTATTACACTCACAAAAGCTAGCATTACAAAGCCTAAAACAGCCTGTTTACGAAAGTTTCTAATGATTTTCCTTTTTATTACTAAACTTGGCTATTTGTTGAAATTATAAATATTTCGTGTTATAACTTTATTAGAATATAAATCAATATTCACTGCTTACGATTGTTCTGATTGAGAGAGTCATTTGTTAAAAATTTGATTTCTATTCCCTGAGCAGTTTCTTTTATAATATTATTCAACTCTCAAAATTTTCCTTCTATGATAATCTGTCATAGTGAATTCTTTTAGTTTTCAACTGTGATATGAATAATGCCTTCTATGACTTAGCTTTTAACTTTGGTTGGTTAGAAGACAAAAAAAATGCCTTTAATAAAGTTTTAAATCACAAGATGGAACAGTTTCACTCCAGGAAGTAAACTTAATCTCTTATTTGCAGTGCCAATATATAGAATGCAAAAAATAATTAAATCTTCTTTATCAGCGCCTTGCAGGCCTTGGTTGCCTCAGCAGCTGACAAATGCCAGCACCTCCTATCCATGGCAACTCCCTTCCAATTTCTAATCTTAAGGGTTTTCAGGTCATTGTCAATTTTGTTGACCCATCTAGTCGGGGTCTACCTCTAGGACGTGACCCCTCTGGGTTCTTAAAGGTGACTATTCTTATGGCGCTAAAACAATTAAATAGGTATCATAAATCTTTGATCGTTTGATATTAAACATTTCTTAAAATGCAAAAAGGGAAATATAGTAATGTTTTTGAGTAAAACATAGAGAAGCTCCCTAGTTTTCCTTAATTTTCTCGTTTTTTAATATTTGTACATATATTTGTGTTATGAGCCATGATAGCTCAGTGGTTAGGTCACCAAATTATCATTGAAAAGAACTGAAGTTTGATCTCTAGGGGTGGCTTGAACCTCAACCAGCTTCAGATTGATGGGTTCTAGCTTGTTTGATAAGTAACTGTGCACGAAATTTTTTGGTAAATAACAGTGCTTGTTGGACTGTGAGCAGTGCTGACCATATTGTCGCTATAATTTCTTTCACAAAATTGTGGACTCTTAACTTCAATGGCCCCTTTGATGCATATTGGGCTTTTGCAGGAATATTTTTCTTTATTTATGTTATATTCAATGAACAGAGATATAAAAGTATGTTGAACTTGGCTAAAAAAGGAGTAGAAATTATTAACAAGGGAGCAATTCAACTAAAATGTTCTGAAGTAACACATTCTAATTAATGAGCCAAGCTGATTTTTGAAAAGTTTTTTCATGACATAAATTTAAAAAATTTTGTGTCCTTTCTCATTAAATTCTTCATAATTATTTTTTTATTAATCAAATCTAAATTTGTCTTTTACCTCGTCATTTTAATAAATTATAAACAATGTTCTTAGAAACTAGTATTTCATAGTGATGGTACATTACATAGTGTATTATAAACAATGCATACAGATTAGGTTTGCTTCCAGTATAGTTGATTATTTCACTAAAAAATTTTTACAAAAATGTTTAAAGCATTTTTTTACATTGAGATACTTTTTATACTTACAGTATTGCCACTCCCCTTTCTTCTTATTTTGAAGTTGTTTTTGTGTTTATTTAATATACAATTTATTCCATCCAGTCCCACTGGCATATTAATCTAGAAAAGCCTCTTTACACGTAATTCTTTTCCAACGCTGATGTGGAATATTAAATATCACTGCCCATGCAAAGTATATAAGCAGTATAAATTTTTAAAATAACCTGTGAATCCCAAATTTCTACGTACATTTGTAAGAGAAATGTATTACAGATTTCTCCAATTTTGCAATGTTCATTTTTGCACATTTTTCAGTAAGAAATTAGTATTTTAAGACAATTAAAGTAAAACTGAATAATAAATACTTGGAACATTTTATAAATGGCTTTTGTATTTAAATATGATGAATTATATTGATGTGCTTTCTTGCATGTATGTATATATGTTCACTGCTTCAAATTAATGCTATGCATGCAGTGAACGTAATTGTTTCAACTTGCTTGTGTAATGATTGTTGTAATAAATGTCAATGTTTCCCCTGTTTACATCTTTCATTAGGATGCGGTGAGTATAGATGTATTTTTGTTTTGCTTATTATGATGGCTAAGTTCTTTTTTTTTTTAAAAAATTATGCACCGCTTTTAAATTAGCAATGAAACCTACAGATTTTATTATATTGCTTCTCAGATGATCACTGCTTTAGAAACTATGCTCAGCTAATTCGTCATGATATTATATAAAGATTTTAAAAAGTTAAATTTTCTTACTTAAGTATTGTAATATAATTCCAAATAATGACTATTTTTGCATAAATATATTATGACTTTCAATTACTTTATAAAGTTCTAAAATTGTAATAATTTTTATTTTATAATAATTGTTTAAATGTTCATTTTTGATTTAGATAACTAAAAATGTGATATTTAGATTTAGATTTGAATTTTTAGTTTTATTGTTAATTTTGAAGAATTGTTTTTTATGATTCTTTTTTTTAAATTTTTTATAATGTTTTATTAAAAATATCTCATATTTTAAAAAATTAACGTTTTTTAAACTGGTTTTAATATTTCTCCGTTTAAATTCATTTTAAGAGTTTTTCTTTTCTTCTACAAAGCTTAATTCTTCAAAGAGTAATATGAAGAAGAAAAAAAATTAGAAAATTGTCTACATTTGATAAATTTTTGAATTATGTAGAAAATATGAAAATTCCATTTTTTTTATTTCGTATCTTCGAAGATGTTTTTTTTTCCAATATGTTTCCTGACTTATTCTCTCTTAAGTTAGTTTAAATTGTTTTCTAGTAGATTTGAAAAGAAAATGTGTGAATTTTTTTTCTTCAGTTCTTAAACCTATTTGTATTAAAACAACTTATAAATTGCTAAAAAGTGCTTGCTTTAAAAACTTCAATTTTATCTTATCCAGTTCCAAATTTAGTGCGCTTTGAAAATTGTTAATAGAAGTCAAGATGACGAGGTTTAAGTTTCAATAAAAGTTCTGTAAATTTAAAAGTAAAATTAAGTTTAATGATTGCTGAAAAAGCTTATTTGTCTCTTGGAAAAGTGGTTTTCAGAAAAATTTGCTTCATATTTGCAGACTTTTTGTGATATGAAATGTTTTTTTTTTTCTTTTAATTTTTTTTATCAATGAGGAAATGATAGAAAGTATAATGAACAGTATTTTTTTCTATAACTTAGATTTATATTTCTCCCCTCAAAATCTTATAATATAATCTAAAAAATTTTAAAGAGGCCGAAAAAAATTGCGGAATTATTAAAATCTAGTATTTTTACTATCTGAAACCAAAACATACCCATATTTTTTTCTTCACAATTCGATATGGTTACAAGTTTTTCTAAAATTTATTTCAACTTTTGAAAAGTGAATTTTGATGTCACGTTTCAAAATTAAATTCTCTGCATTATATAGCAGTTTTATCTTTTTATATTTGCTTAACTTCACTCATTTATGTAACTAGCACTTTACTTATAGAACCTTAATAAAGCTAAATTTTCTTTCCCCTTTTACTTAATGTTTCTGATAAGAATTTGAATAAGTTTAAATATTAACGCAATATTAAGGATTCAATTTTAATTAAGTTGATTTACTGAATGCATGTAAAATTAATAGAAGGTGCATCTGAAAAATTTGGTGAATGGAAGTGCAAATTAAAACATTTTTGGAAACGCTCAAAACAAAATCAGTCAGTCACAATACACTTTTCACAAACTGAGACAGTGAAAGATCTTTTTGCAATCAATCGTAAGGAGAATTGCTACTTTTCTTAAATGAGTCCTCAAAAGCCTTTTTTACGTTAAATCAAAAGAAGATATAACTTGTCTTCAGTGCATCATCAAAGGCCTTTTCTATGTTAAATCAAAGGAGAGATTAAAGGAGAAAGTATTATGCATTTGCTCAAACCTCTGCAAATGATCTACTAACATTGTCCGTTATTGTTACTTAATTCCAGAATCTTTCAATGCTTATAAGTGATCAACAGCATATATCACATATCTGGAATCATCACATCTCTTTATGGTCTCCCTTAATATGGTTTGTTATCAGTATGATTTCCATTCCCTCTCTGAGATGCTTAAACCAATTGAATATGGATTTCTGCTTCTGAGTCTATTTTTAATGAATTTCTTAGACTTAAGAGTAGTAGATGTGTTTTACTGCTCAAACTGAACTGCATCTTGCACCCCTTGCTATCAGCTATCTCATATGTATGCATATAACTGCGTTTTCAACTCTCTTTGCTTTTGAAATATCATTCACAAAATTTTTAGATTCATCTTGTTATATAGTAAAATAACTTTCTTCTTTATAATTTTTGATGGTAGAAGTATTCGTTAGATATGATTGTAGATGGCTATTCAAATTATTTGCATTAACAAAATAAATTAAATGGTAAATAAATTTTACAGGCTTTTGCATGGTTCAGTGACCTCCTCGTTGAACACGCGGAGATCTTTTGGTCATTGTTTGCTGTTGATATGGACACAGTTTTAGCTGAACAGCCTCCAGATACATGGGATAGTTTTCCAGTCTTCCAAGTGCTGAATGATTATCTTCGAGTAGATGGTAATGAATTATGTTATCAACCATGTGAACGCCACATGTTGAAATTCAATAGTTAACTTTAAATAGTGGGAGCATCTTAGAAATATTAACCTTATAAATAGCATTTGTCAAGCTTTTTGTCTTTAATATTTCTTTTCAGAAAAAAAAATGTTTAATTGCTTTAAAAAAAACAATTCGGTCTTATAAACTGTATGTCTTAATGTGTTCTAAGAGGTATTATTTCACATTACTTCCCTAGAAACAATTTTACCTTGACCCCAGTTGGGTGCAAAATTGGCTCAATATGGATCATATAAGAACATGCACCGAAGGACCAATATTGGGAGATATTATGTATTATTGGTCCTAGAATGGCCTATAAAGGGCCTACATTGTTTAACATAAAATCTATATTGGCTAAATAATGGATATAAAATATCGGGTGCATCTGACAATTCTATATAGAGCCGATATTGGTGGTAAAGTGGCTGTAAAATATCGGGTGAATCAGAAAATTCTATATAGGGCCAATATCAGAAAAATAACGGCCCTTTAGGCCCTTATTGAGCCAAGATTTATGAATATTGGTCCAATAAGGACCCAAATTATTTTGCTACTAGTGTTGTTAGAAGGGCTGGGCTAGGTGGTTGATAACCTGAATACTCTAAAAAAATTCCCTTAAAAAATGAAAATAAATTCTCTAAAAGCCAACAAAAATGACCTAAAAAGGAAGCAAAATTTTTTTGCTTGTTATTCTTAAAATTGAAAGTGTCTCTGTTCAACATCAAAATTTGTTATTGAATAATATTTAAAATAACAAGATTTAATGCAAAATTTACTCTAATCACAAATTAAAAAAAATTACCCCCAAAAAATGCTCTTAAAATTTATCTTATTTACAATGCATAAAAAATTATTATAAAGTGGAAAAAATGACTTTAAAAAACATGAATAATACACCCATATTCTGAGAAAAAAGAAAAAATTTGAAGAAATACATGTATCTTCAACATCATCCTAATCTTGCTTATTAGTATACTATGTGCATTTTTTACTTAAGCACCGCTTTTCTTCAGAAAACTTATGCGGAGGGAGGTTCCATCAACATCTTCGTGATACATTTGCTCCCCAAGTTGTTCGTTATGTGGATCTAATGGAATCATCTATTGCTCAATCCCTTCATAAAGGCTATGAAAAAGAACGATGGGAATTAAAAGGGTATTGATATTTATTTTATTTTACCGCCTAATATAGCGGGAATTTCAAATAATTAAAATATATATTATTTAAATATATTTTAATTATTTGAAATATATCATTCATCTCATCATATATACACTACTTGTTTCTATTCTTGCATAGTCTTTTTTAGCTTAATTTGAAAGGTTTCCGCTCACTCTAGATACTGAGAAGATCTGGAGTTTTTCGGGTATTTGAAAATACCAGTGGAAAACTAAAAGTTCAAGAAAATTCATAATTAAATCTAAAGTTCTTGAAGTATTAGCAGTATAATGAATGCACACAATTTAACAGTTATACTGTTGTTTGAATCTGTTTTTATGTATTAAAACCTGCTTTATGTAATCTATCATAGCTTATAAAAACTTTTCCAATGTTACCATCATTTATTTCTCTTGTTACCAATTATATTTTAATTAATAATACCATTTTCTATTAAGCAACACTTTTATTCAAATTATATTTCTTAAAGCATTAAGATAAAAAAAAATTTAAACTAATTCTTATAATGTTTCTGACAATAATAATGAATTTATTTAACATAAATATTACATATTTAACATAAATATTTACATAAATTTAACATAATTTTAAAAATAACAATTTAAGTTTTAGTAAAAATTTCTGTAATTATTCATAAATTCTTAATGTGCATGTGTAATTCAGAGCTCATTCTAGGCAGAAAAAGGGGCAGGGTGCAAAAGTTTAAAAAAAGGGCATTATTATTCTAAAAAGGCAATAATTTCGTTCCCTGGGCTTTACACGTTCTATTAAAAAACATTGTCAATTAGTAAAAGAAATTTTTTTTTACTTTACTAAAAGTAGCAAAGCAATCATATTAATTACTAATTTTCATTAATAAATTATCATATGTATCAAGTTAATGAGCTAATTAGCTTGGTAATTTATTTAAAATGCATGCATATATAAATAAAATAATAAATGTATGTTTTTAAGTGTCTGTAGTTATGATTTAATAATTAAAATTATTAATAATAATTATGATTTAATGATAGTGGAAGTAACTGCACACTTTCAAAGAGAAGTGCAACAAGGGGGTGTGTTGGCTTTTTTTCCTTTCTCATATAAATCTATGTATTGACAGCAATGACAAATTAAATAAAAAGAGTTAAAAATAAAAGTTTGAGAAATCCACTGTAGAGTTTGGGGAAAATATAAAGGGTTGAGGAAAGAAAGGGCAAAAAGGACATGCAGTCTTATAACATCAGGACACTAATTTACTTCAGGAGCAACAGGGTGGATTTTTTTGACTAAAAGGGCAGCAGGGTGCTGAGCCCTGTTTACCCTGTCTAGAATGAGCTCTGGTGTAATTTTTAAATTACTATTAAAAATCCACTCATTGTAATTTTGAAAATCAAAATATTTTCTACTTTTACTCAGGGAAATAATGTTAGTTTGGAGAGTTACTTCTCAAAACTCAGCAGTGTATATCAGCTTGCAGGGCTGATTGTGCTCCGGAAAAATCCGGATCTTCGGATTTTTCGCTAACCATGATCCGGAAGTTTCCGGAAATCAAAGGTCAAGACGTTTAAAAAAATCATTGATCACAAAAGTTTCTGGAAATCAAATTTTGAAAGGTGGAACTTAAGAACACAGTTTATTTTATTTGTTTGTAAGGGAGAGCCAGATACTTTATAAGCTTTATATTCAAGATTAATATTGATTTTTTATCAGTAAATAGTTATCATAATCATAAACTCAAGAAAGACATATTTGTAAATTTCAATTATTTCTCCAGGTTATAATAGGTATGTGTAAATGGTATAAGTATGAATAAAATTTTAAATATATTTTAAGTTACTAAGAGAGATTGAGAAAAAGGAGAAAAAACCTTGTTTATATTTTTTTCCATTTAAACTGTATTTTTTTTTTTTTTAACTCAAGAAATTTTCTAGAATTTTGACTTGGGCTCACAATCACCCCTGAGCTTGGAAATAATCGATCATATATTGTAAATTGATCATTTATTGCTAGAATTTATTAAAATTTGTTCCTTTTTTCTGATATTAAAATCTTCTGCAATAGCATTGTAAGGAAGAAATCTGAATCTTACATATGTATCCTGAAAGTTAATGTTCTGTGCAATTGATCTCTATTAATAAATTCAAATGTTGTGTTGTTATAAAAATTATTTTGCTGAAATCCGCTATGTTAGGGACATAATTTGTGGCATTGCATTTTCCTCTCTGTCTTGTAGGCATGGATGCATTACTTCAGAAGATCTTTTTTGGAAACTAGATGCCTTGCAATCTTTCATCCGGGACTTGCATTGGCCTGATGAAGTTTTTGCCAAACATTTGGAACAAAGGTTAAAACTCATGGCATGTGATATGTTGGAGTCTTGTATTAACAGGTTATTATTTTTTTAAATTTCTCTCACTGTAAAATTAACACCTTCTGTATTTACTCGATATGTATTTGATCAGACTTGTTTTTTGCTGTACCAACTGGTTTTCATCATGTTAGTTAATATTCTGCTAATTTTACAGTGAAAAAGATTTACTCAATCTGCTGATCTGTAACGAAATCATTCATAATTGAAATAATTAATTATTCTAATTATACATAATTCTATTAGCTTTATAATTTTGTTGTCAGGGCATCCAAGTTATACTGTAATTCTGTAGAGAAAGTGGGGAAAAATGCGTAGGAATATTTGTGATATAGTTTTACGTAAACTAAATTAATAAAATTGAATGCATGTAATAAAATATGCATATAAATGTGTAAAATAATGAACTTTTGTGTACAGTGAAAACATGGTTGGCATGGCCGAAAACATGGTGTTTGAAATATATCTATCAAAAACTTAAGTGCAAGTAATTTTATGAAAAGCCTGAAATAAAAAAAATTTTGTAACTTAAAAATGTTTTTAATTGCACATAATTCAGATTATCTAATTTCTTTGCATAAAATATGTTATTTCTTCTTAATAAAGAAACTTATCTTTAGTTTTTTTTAAAACATATAACTCCCTAAATCACATTGGAAGCTTAAGAATTTTTAAAGTTTTATTTTCACTTTATGATGAATATAGTATGCTATCCAATCTAATGTGGCGGCAGAGTTAGCCAGTTGACAAAATAACCATATTGAAGCAGGTTTCACTTACCCTCACCCTTGTGAAAATACATGTTATACCTTTTAAGATAAGTGATTAATATAAATCTCCTTGCCATCAGGCTAATTATTGGAGGTTTTCCTCTCCATGTAACGCAAATGGAGGCTAGTGCTATCAAAAAGTCCTCTGCAAAGGCTTATTTATCCTGTGGGAAATATATTATAGACTATGTCGACCTTCGTCTATCAAAAGGTACCTCTAAATGGAATCAAGTTAACATATCTTATATACTAATGATTCGGTATTTCGGTATTTAATATTTATAGTGGTAGTTACACCACAATCCCGTAGCTTAATCCAGAAGTTCTCTTGTCTTCAGGTTTGCTTTCAAAATTAAAACTCTACGGACTTGAACATTGATAGTCGTAAACTTAGAAATTGAATCAGCTGTATAAAATAAAATAGAATGATTAATATAAAAAATTATTAATTCAAAAGTACTCAAAATTTATTTATTAACTGCACATGTAAGAAACTTTAAGTAGGAAGAGTCAAAATGTATAGACAACCACTTTAGCATTTCTCATTTTTACCTACCACGATGAACTATATAAATCGACCAATTCTATTTTCCTAATTTTTAACCTGGCTGGATAGTACGGAAACCAGATGGTCACAAACACAAACCAGATAATCAGGAGTCCAATGTACTTTAATTTATATTATATTTTTGTAAATGATATTTGATTTTCATACTTTCATTATGGTAATAATTTTTCTCTTGTAATATTTACATACTACAGATCACAAATTTTTAATTTTGTAATGCTCTAAATTTATTTAAAGGACTCTTCAAGCATTCCAACAATGGCAAAAGAAAGGGAGCAAATGGACTAGCACCGATTATATTGTTCCTTCTGAAATGTGTGCGATGATAAACGTAGTTCTTGAAGCCAAGAATCAGGTATACCAATCTATCTCCTTTTTTTTTAAATGAAACTGAGGTAATTTTTTTTGCCATAAATAAAATGTTTTCTTTTATTTTAGTCTTTGAAGCTGTGCACTGTTGAAGGAGTAGACCTGGTTAGTAAACATTTTCTATTCTAGATTCATTTTATTGACTTAAAAGTATTTCGAAACCAACTAAGTATCCTATTGCCTGTTTTTCTACTTAATCCTTTGATACTTAAATTAATTTTTTGTTTATATGTGGTAATTGAATGTATCTTAAATGAAACATAATGTTAATAATATTCTATTATTCCAAGATAATTTTAATATTTTTCCAATACTATGATTTTTTGATTTGCTGATCTGTTTGTGATATATCAGTTTAAACAATATAAATTACATTATTTCTGTTGTTTCAGAAAGTATTTTTCCTAGTGGTTAGGAAGGTAATCTATTACAGGGTGCGTAGCGTTTGTAAAAAGTACTTAAAGGTGCTTTTTTGGGGATTTCGTTTTTAAAAGCTTTTAAAGGTGATTTTTTTCAGCTGGCATTTTTGAAAAGTGCTTTTTTTTCCGAATAATTTTTTTCCCCTTCAGTGATATCTGGTGGATCCTATGCATTTCACGAAAAATGGGGAGTTTGCTATGTAATCATTCATGCGGACTTCATGTCGTACCCACGTTATGACTTGCGCATGCGCGCACAATTGAAACCGAAACCCGGATGCTCCAATTCGGATAGAGAATATCAGATCCTTATGAAATGTTTTTCTTTCTAATTTATTTTAATTTTGTTCTTGCTTATTTTATTTTACTTCTAACACTTTTTTTGATGCAGGGGGTAAGGGTACTTTTGTTCTGAGTTCAGGGTCAAGTTGAATTCACTCGGTCATGTGGGAAAGTGCTGATTGTTTCGATTTACGCCCGTTTCTTTTTGGTTTTTTTTAGCGCTAAAGCTGTTTATAAAAAGTTTTTGTTTTTCAATAATATCATTGATTGAATATGAATTTTTTGAGTGCTTGAAAATTTTTGTAAAGTGCTTGAAAAGTTTTTAAAAAGTGCTTATTTTTGATTCAAAGATTTGGCTACGCACCCTGTATTATTAAATGAAAACTAATGTAATTTTCTCTGCCACTACGTATTAATAATTCCTAAAGATTTAAAAAAATGTCTTGCACTCAAATTCTGCAATATGTCTCATAAAAATTTTATTTTTTGAAAAAAATTCCTGTTTTAGATCCCTACAACTAGAAAAAATTTTTGCAAAGGCTTCAAATATTCGAAGCCATGTATGATATAATATTAAATTTAATACTTAAACCACTTTGAACAACAAATAAAGAGATGTCAACTGATAAATGAATTTTCTGTTCTGAAAATGGTTTCCTTAGTTGTTTTTCAAGCACATTTTTTTTAATAATCTTATGCCTATACTCTTACTTTTCATCTTTTTAAATTATATAGGCAATTTAGTTAAGTTGGGTTTTGTATATATATGTTTTTTTTTCAGTAATTATATGAGCAATGTAGTTCATAAGAAATTAAACAAAATCTCTTAATTTCTGTGATATAATTGCTTGATTCTGTTTGATCCTCCCTTGATGCTCCAAATTATGCATTAATACTTAGTACTGATTAAAAATTTTCGTCATTCTTACTCCTATTAATTCTAGTTGTGTTTTAAATCTTTCTAAATAAATCTCTCCTTGGAAGGTATTTTCATAGTTACTAAAAATAATTGTTTAAACTATGTATTTGAGATCACACTTTAAATTTGTTCGAAAAATATTTCTTGTTGCGAGATTAAAAAAGTACTTACTTTTTCACTATACTTCAATCTAAATTATTATGCAGCATTAAAAAGCTTAATTTCTGACTGTATTTCCAGAGCAAAAAAAGAAAAGAAAAAAAAAACTATTGTAAACTGCATTAAAATATAAAACTTTTATTCCTGCCTGCTTGGAAATTAATAAAAAAAAAACTATGTTCCAAATTGTTTTTAAACCCTGCAAACTCAAAATAGTTCTCTAATTGGTGCCTAAATTGTTCAAAACCAATGCACATTTTTGTTTAATAATGGTGTTTGTTCAACATTTTTGACTTTTAACCTTAGTTAATTTTTTTTAAATCGGTTAAATAGTTTAACCAGTTAACCTAATACAAAAAGTTGTTGATGCACCACAAACTATGCTTGAATGTAGCAAATTTATTTATGTTTCTTTCTTAGCATCAATACCATGCCAAAATTGATGAAATGGTTGACAAAAGCTTGAATCAAATGCAAACTGGGCTCATTACAAAAGTAATAAATTTTACATCTAAATTATTTTATTGTTTTGTAATTTTAATGTTTCTAATGACTTTTGTATTTTTTCCCATCAGTTAACAAGCATATTAGAGTTAACCTTAAACAAGTTATCTCGTTATGATGAAGGTAGCCTTCTTGCGCCCATTTTATCGCTCACAGTGAGTAATCTGTCATTTATCTCAATTTAATCTCCCTTTCAGATATTGATTTGCTATTTTATTCCATTGTAATCAACAAGAAAAAGTAAAACCATAGAGATACATATGCTAATTTGTAGTTTTTATTACCTTTCTATTTATGAGAACAGAAATAGGTATAATTTAAAGTCAATTTAATAGCTGGTAATTTTAATAATGTAATATGATTCTCAAAAGGCTAGTTGGAAGCATGGTTGTATAATTTGAAGCATAATTAGATTATATATAAGAAAAAATATCAAAATTGTATAACTGTTTACCATAGATATCTAAACAGAAATAAGTATTACTCTGTAAATAACCATCAAACTCATAAACTCAGTGTTAAAAACATACTTTTTTTCCTTTATTTATGTTGAAAAAAATAATGCAACTTAAGGAAAATTACTCTTAAAATTTTATTAAAATACAGATAAATGATAAAATGTAATGTTTTCATTCTTTGAATATGTTGACTTCCTAAACCTGGAAAAATTATCTATTTGGCAAATGTTTAGTTATCTAGGCTTAAGACAGAATATAAGATGGAAGTTAGCTAGTGTCCTTAGGAATTTAATGTTATGTTTAACTCTTTGCTTACAGCTCTTACATGGTGAAGCCTGTTATTCTGATTCACTTGTTGTTCCAGCTGTAAGCAAACGGTTAATATGAAAAAATGGAAAATTTTAAATGAATTTTCTATTTTTGTTATGCTTTATGCGGTGGAAAAAATGTTTACTAATACTGGTTTAGACAATGTTCTCTGATTTGAAGATATCATTTTTACCAATATTTCAATGCATATAAATATTAAAGTTCTAAGCAAATGTGTCATTTTTATTTATAAACATTTTATTATATCTAATACAAATTTATATAAATACATAATAATGTTTTAATATTTATGTTTTTAGTATAAGCAAGGTGTATCTAGCTCAGGTAAAGAAGTTGGGCTGGCGTACATTAATTTTGCTCGAAACAGCATGGAGCAGTTGAGGCAGAAGGTCACTGATGAGCTCTGGGTATTAGGTCTCTTTGAGGTAAACAAATTTAAACTAGTTTATATGCTAGGCTAGAGATGGCAAACCTATGACACGCCTTCCACTAAATGGTACATGGTGGAACATTGGTTATTGTAAACTCGGAATTGGATCAATTGTTTAATGCAAGTTATAAAACATAAAAGGTCTTTTTATTACTTACTACATAGAGTGACTGCTTTAGCATATTTCACTTTAGCTAAATATTAAATAAATATTTTTAAAATACTTTTTATTCAATTTCCATTTAAAATAAGTTAATAACTGAACAGAAAATAGTCACACAATCTAATTCCATAGTTTAAAATCGATGTACAACAATTTAAAGATTTTTTTTTTAAGAAGAAAGTTAACAAGTGGCAACCAGACACTAGTAAATAATAAATCTTAATTTAATGGCACACTAACTGAAAAGGTTTGTCATCTCTGTGCTAGGCAAATAGAAAACTTCCAAATTTTATTAAAAAAGTCGAATTTTAATTTAAAAAAACAAATGTTATCTGATTAGTTTTACCATATTAATGTGAAATCAACGTAGTACACATGGGTGCCACTCTTCAGTCCTGGGGACTGAAATCAGTCTTGAGAAAAATCAATGGACTAATAAATTCTATCAATTAAATAAAATTTTCTTTTTTTTTTCCTTGGAAATTAAAAATTTTTTTTTGGTCAAAATAAAAAATAATATTATATCTTAATGAAAACATATGATATGGTAATAATGTCAAGACTTTTATTTATTTTCTTTTTGTCAGCTTCACTAAGTCTTATTCTTAAAGTCTTGAGAAATAGGATTAAGTGAACTTCATCTACTTTCGTAATTAAATTTGTACTATTGCTGAATCTAAATCTGCTCGAGTTTGATTCCTTCACCTTAACCTATTGTCATGCTGACCAAAGTTAAATCAAGATTTTTTTTTAATAACAAAGAAAGAAATTATAATGCTAGAACAAAAAATAAATAACAATGAAGTGACAAATAGAGGTATGAATGGTTTCAGGTTGTTCAGTAATAATTGTAAAAAATTATACAAGGTTAGCTGTTGTTTTCTTTTTGTTTGCTAAAAAAGCATAAAATAAGGAGAAAAAAAATTATAGGAAAAATAAACAAATGATTTGATATGTAGGCCAGGCTATTATCAAGGAAATAAAAATTTCGGTGTCAGTGAGCTATAAATTTCTAAAAGTTTGGTAAACAACGCTAGACAGTATTATTTAGTCAAAAAATTAGTTCAGTCTTGGAATTTTTTTAGAGTGGCACCCCTGGTAGTACAGTAGGGAACCGATTATCCGGAACGATCGGGACTATCGCTATTCCGGATAACTGATTTTTCCGGTTTTCTGAATCGCTACAAAGAGCCATTTTTTTTTATTGTTAAACCCAACTAAAAAAAAATGTTTAGAAATATTCTTAAAAAGAAGAAAAAATGATGAAGTAAAACACAAATGATTATTTCCAAAATGATGGTAAGGTAAATGATGGTAAGGTAAGGTATGGTAAGGTAAATGATGATGGTAAGATCTTTTAAAAAAGAAAGAAAAATCCTAAAATCTTATGAGGAAAAAAAAAAATTTTTATTAAATATTGCGGGAAAATTTATCGAATTTTGTTCCGGTTTTTTGGTTTTCCGGTTTTCTGATTTCCGGATAACGGGTTCTGTACTGTATATGCAAGTTTCTGACATAGATATTACAAAATTTTGTGATGTGGTTTTACCACATTTTTTAAAAATATAATTTATTAATTTTGCTTACTGTCACAGTTATTTTGTCACATTTTTATTTTGCATAGCTGTCTAAACTAAAATATGTAATGTGGTGTTTAATTATTTTGATAGCACATATTTTACCCCAATTATGCTCTTTTTCTAAGAAACTATCACATTTTCTTCAGTTTTTCCTAGGTTTAATCAATAATTCTCTTAAATGTTTGATTATATTAAGTATGCTAATAAAGTTTGCTAATTCTTGAAGAAATCCGTTCCAAACAAGTAATATAATCTTACTTATTGCTTAATTTCAAAATGAGAATGGATAAGTAATGATGTTTAAAATAATGTTAGACTAGAATGAAAATATTAATACCCAAACAAAAAGGCTATATTATTTCTATAATACAAGTTATATATGCTTTTTTCCATATTGTTAACTCACATAATGTTGTTAATGTCACATAACTTTTAGTTCAAAATTTTCATTGCTACTTTTTCAAAATATCTATTATTTTTTATTGTTACAGAATGTATAGGTTTTTTAATTAGTTTATGAACTATTTCATCTATATTTCTTTCTTCGATTGTTAGGACTGGTATGCTGCTCAAGTATCAATGATATGTGCGTGGTTATCTGAAAGACTTGATCATGGTTTACATTCCTTCCAGTTATCAGCTTTATCTCATATAGCCAAGGTCTGTGTCAATTTCTTTATTTTAAAATGTTAACTTAATTATGACTCCAAAGAAAAATTTTAAAGAAATTTTTTTTTTATTTGATCATTTTCATCTTTTATATAGTGATGGGTATGAGGCAGTACGTTTGTGGCTGTCGCTAAAATTTAAAAATTTCTGTATATTGGCAAAGGTGCCAACTTGCTCCGGACTGCAGATAAATATTTCTAGTGGTAGCAAAATTGATTGTTTAAATCTATGATTCTTGGTCTAGCAAATTCAATTTATAGGATTTACCCACCACATTTTTTAAATAGATTTATATCAAACACCACTCTTATTACATTTATTTCGTATTGAGCCTTATAAAAAGTTTGCAGAACTACCCAAAAATTTTTGATATTTAGTTTGTAGTTCTCTACCGTTTTTTAAAATATTTGTAGAGTTCGGAGAAGTTGTCACCTCTACACTGGTTCTTAAAATATCCCAAATTTATAACCAATGATTAAATATATACAAATCATCTGTAGTTAAAGTAAGCAATCTTTAAACTTCACAGTAGCCGTAAAAGAATTCAAATTTTAAAATGGGCATCACTATTAATTTTCCAGAATATATTTACACACGGTGCATAGCGTTTTTAAAAAGTGCTTAAAGGTGCTTGTTTTTTATTTTTGTTTTTTAAAAGCCCTTAAAGGTGCTTTTTTCTTTTTTTTCTTTCATTCAAAGGTGTTTTTATAAAGCGCTTAACTTTCCTTTTTCCAAATTGAGATTTTTCCTTTACCATATTGATTTTCGCCATGAATTATGGAGTAAGACACTGTTCACATTGTTCTATTCAACGTTTTCACAATTAATTGAACCCCAATCTATTTCGGCGCATCGTCAGTCCGTTGCATATGAAAACGTCATTCGATTTGCATGATTCAAAAATTTTGACAGTTGTCATAAAAATTCCAAAAGGTTATATTTTTTTTTTGACATGACGGTTAAAACCAGATAAAAGCGTCCATTGTCAAAATCTTTCTAACCCTGCCTAATTATGGTATTTTTTTAAAGTGCTTAAAAATTGTATTTGAGTGCTTGAAAAGTGCTTATTTTTTGTTGAATAATTTGGCTACGCACCCTGTTTACAATTAAATTTTTGCCCAATATCCCCATATTTTCGTGAACAATATGACAGATTATTTTCAGGTGAAAGAAAATTAAAATGTTTTTGTTATCAGTTCAAAGTTGTAGAAAGATAATAAAATACATAAATTCCAATTTTTTAAGTGTACAAATATGATAATCAAAAACTTTTTATGTTTACTCTGTACTAGTTTGTGTGTTCAGTTAGTTCGTGAATGACTTGAATCCTATCACTTTTCATGTATTATGATTTTATGTACTTCTGTCATTATATCACATTTAATTTTAATTCATCATACTGACAAATGTTTTATCTGGTTCAAATTATACATTAAGTAATTTTAAAAAAAAAGTTAATCTGTACTATCATTCACTCAACTTTTTTCACTATTTTCTTGCTGCTCTTTATAAGCCATATATTTAAAATATAATGCGATGAATTTAAATATACTTATTCTCAGGCATTTAGTAATAAATACACTTATAAATAATAAAATACAATGCATTTTGAACCTTCTCTAACTTTAAGGAATGTAGCTAAAATGCAAAACTATTGCATGGGAACTGAAAAAGCAAAAAGAGTTTTTTTTTATTGTTTTAAAATTATTAGTGACAGTCAAAGGGAAATTAAATACCTGCCATGAACCACTTTCCTACCTAAAGTTGACAACACTTTTGTTTCATATTGGTTGCATCATTTGTAGAAAAAGAGAATTAACGATGGTAGGATGCAAATCCATGTTGGAATCGCAGCATGAATTATTTCTGTAGAAGAGGAGAGAGTCCTGAAGAAAATGCCTTCGTTTTTTGTTCTGGTGAAAAGTGTGCAAAAACAGATAAGTGTATTCGCTCTTCAACAGCTGAGGGTAATGGGATTCATTACGTATACAGACACATTAACAAACAATTTCTGTACTGTACTGTGCACACTTTTATTCTTGTCTGTCTGTACTAGGGTGCACACAGTAGAAACACATCATTAATTCCTAATTCTGTCAAACAGAATCATCCTTTTGCATGATATCTCACTACCTCATACTGCCAATGTGGTGAGAGATGATCTTCAGAGATAAGGCTGGAAAACACTTTATCTTTTTTTCTACAATCTAGGTATTTCTTCCTTGTGACTTCCTCTTTTTTGGGGACTTAAAGTAACAAATTCATATACATTGGTTTAATTTGGCCCATGAAGTGTGAGAATGGGTGTGGTTGTTGATCCGTCAGCAGCTGATCTCTTTCTACAAGACTGAAATTGATTACTGATTGATTGGCAATTACTTTTGTCTAAAACAAATTCCATTGTCACTTTGTTGCAGGTCTTCTAATTTCCTTTGACTCTCCCCCACATATGTACAGTGCGCAAAATTAAAAAAAGAAAAACTGAACACATTGAATAACTTTTGATCCAATAATCTATTTTTACTAGGACTCAGACATTATGATTTGGGCGACCTGACCTCAAATATGCTAATTAATAAGTGTTGACGATATTTTAAGCATCAAAATCGGACAGAAAAGCAAACTTTCTCTGAATGAGCATAAATTATTATTTTTTTGACTATTTCTGATTCTTGTCCCTCTAAATATGGGGGTAGCCGCAATCTGGAAAATATGATGGACGCAATAGTTTGCTCAAGGGGGCAGCCGAAATTTTAGACCTCTTAAAGTTTATTTTGTGTATTTTGTTGTATCTCAACAACTTTTTAAGGGAATCTAAATTTTTTTATACAATTATAAAATTCAATTATCCAAAGATTACACCATCCAGCAAAATATTTATTAATTGTGGTTTATTTTTATTAATTTATTTCATATGACCGAAAAAATCCTGAATTGCAAGGTTTACAAATTTTTACTATATTTTAAATTAATGTAATTTCATGAGACAAATTTGGACAAAATCAATCAAATAGTTCTCTTTAAATTTTAAAAATACACTACTATTTTAAAATTTGTTAACTTAGAAACTATTTGATGGTTTAAAATTATATTTTTTTTAAAAATGTACAAATTTGTATATTTTACAATTCAAATTTTTTCAACTAATATTGAATAAAATAATAAGAAATAATAATGGTTAGAAAATATTTTTTTGCAAAAAATTATTTTTGGATAACTGAATTCTATGATAGCGTACAAATTTTTTCTGATTTGCTTCAAAATTTCTTGAGATGGTGAAATATGTAAAAAGTAAATTTATCATTAATGGATTCAAATATTGGACTACTCTCCTGTCCAAACTATTAGGTCTATATTTTCCATATTGCAGCATTCCATTTGAGGATCAGAAATCCAAATCCTTTCAAAAAAAGACATGTTTATTTGAAGAAAGTGAGATCTGTTCTGCTTTTGTTTCTAAAATGTCATTTGTTCTGTCAGGCCCTTAACAATTGAAATTGAGTAAGGTAAAAATCCCATCATTAGATGAAAAGATATTCAAGGTATTCTGTTTTTTATTTTGAGCGCTCTACATTTGAAGTCTTTTTCTTTAAAAAATTTTGGTTTTGGAGATCATTTAGTTTGGTAATCTTACATATGTCATAATTTTGAATGTTTTGTGCTGTTTCAGAAATTATATTCTGATTTTGAGCTGCAAGGTATTGAAGAAGAAAAATTGAATTCTAAAACTTATCAGACGATAACTAGTCGTTTACAACTTGAAGAAGCTGCTTCTTCAGTCAATGATTCGAGGGAGAAGGACGATTCTGAGTATGTATTATTTACATGAAAAAACTGTCATTTCAGTTTTAAAGAATGTTGAATGTAGAAGATTTCAAACCAATGTCTGATTTTAAGTTTGCTAAAATATAGCAGAAAAAATCTAAACATAAAATTATAGGAAGGTGTTTATGCGACACATAAGAAAATTTTTTACTATTCCTTTACTTATTTCAATATTGAAATTCTTTATCAGCATTATTATTTTCTTAACTTATTGAAATAGCATTTTTGTAAGAATATTTCCTCTGTTCCTCTATTTTGTAAAGGAATTGGAGATAATGTTCAACAGATTAAACTGAAGCATTCATTTAGTTTTCTCTTTAACTGGTTAACTAAATTTATTGTCATTTAGGTTGAAATTGCAGGAAAAATTGCATTAATGCACCGAATAAGTCTTAATTGTGCATTTGTATACTTCTATACTGCCTTTGGAAATACTGTTTTAATGTAGGTGGTACTCCTAGAAATTTATTTCGACTTCTTGATTGCTGAATACTTTAGTCAAATTCGTACAAAAACTTCTACAAAAACTGATCTAATAAATATTGTTTCTGAATATGGTAAATTTGAATTGCTGCAGGAATGTAATAGATGAATTTATAGAATAAATAAATTAATCTTAGAATAATAATTAAAACTTAGAATAATTAAAACTTAGAATAATTAGCTTAGAATAATTAAAATTATTCTAAGCTAAATCTGAATAAATAAAAATATGGTATCCATTGAAACGATTGTGTATATTTAATTTGATACAAGTAACCGAGTTATTTACTTCTCATGCTGCTTCAATCACTGAAATATCTACTAATCACTTAATTTTGCTTAAGATTTATTTTGTGCCTCATTTTTCTTTTTTTATTTATTTCAGACCTTAAATGTCATAAAATTTGTAAGTAGACATTGATTAAAAAATGCATGGTGTGTTATAATTGGTGATGGGGTGTTTTATTTTTCCTTTTCTTACTATTAAATTGTACTTTTTGTTATTTATAATTTTAATTATAATATTTTTTATTTGTTTTCCTAATTTTCCATACACTTTAATTATGTATGATTCTTCTCACTAGCTATACATTATAAAGCATATACAGATTGCACATAAAATAACGTGGTATTTAGAATTTCATAACACATGAAGTACTAGAAGCTATGACGGAAAAAAATTGTGTATACAGACAGCGAAAATTTCTAGCCTTTTTATTAAAAAAGATAATAAATAGTGCTAAATGTTTACAATAGGCAAAAAGTTAGGCACTTCAAGCATGATATATTATTCCTAGAGAATAGTAGTCATATTGTGCTTAGTAATGATAAATGCTACTTCTCATTTCTGACAAGGTTATTATTTATTGTTTGTTGTTATTATATAATACAGTACAGAACCCGTTATCCGGAAATCAGAAAACCGGAAAACCAAAAAACCGGAACGAAATTCGATAAATTTTCCCGCAATTTTTTTCCTCATAAGATTTTAGGATTTTTCTTTCTTTTTTGTAAGATGTTTACCTTACCATCATTTCAGAAATAATCATTAGTGTATTACCTCATCGTTTTTTCTTAATTTTAAGATTATTTCCATATATATATATATATTTTTTTAGTTGGGTTTAACACTAAAAAAGGGCTTTTTGTAGCGATTCAGAAAACCAGAAAAATCAGTTATCCGGAATAGCGATAGTCCCGATAGTTCCGGATAATCGGTTCTCTACTGTAGTTCACAAATATGTAATCATTTATGACATAATATGATTTAACCATCAATTTTCATTCTATCAGCAACTTTTGGTACAAAATTACAGGTTTCATTATTTTCTCATTTGAAACAAAATACTCTATTGAGCATGTGCACTAAACGGTTACATTATGTTACTAATTTTATTTTTTATATTATTTTTTATAATTTTAGTAATTTAAATTTATTACTCGGCTGAGCATAAATGCCATTTGTCTTACATTTCATTTATATTACATTGCTATTTTCTTTATTTTTTTACATATTATTATTATTATTAATTAAAACTGGGTGTTTTGCTGAACCTGTACATCTCCATTTTTTTCCATGTACATCACTAAACTTATGTTAGTTATTTACATCTAATTTTTTTTAAATTCTGTTTTGCTGTTTCCGTATGCCATATTCTTTTACATCACTCACATGCCTTGGGGCTGTAAATACCTCACATTATTTTATGCATACCCTGTACTTTTGTGTCAAACAACCATAGAACTTACGCATTTTATTTGCTTTATATAGGGAATATGGAGACGAAGAAGGCGCTAAAGGAAAAACTGTGCTGCGGGATGAAGGTGCGGAAGGGTACGTCAGTAGTATAAAGAATGTCACATCAAATATGGTTGGAAGAATATCTAATTTGAGTCGTGGAGGTTTGGGTGGCTTAGCAAACAAATTTTCTGGCGGTTTCCTTAACTTTTAGTTCATATGTACTAGTCACACTTCTTAAATCTCACCAGTATTTATAAAATTATTTATCGAGTGAGCATTTCCACTCAGGTTGTTTCTAAAGCCCTCCAAGAAATCTTAGAGCGAGGAGATGTGGATCTTGCTGATCGATGGAAATATCCTTTTCGGGGCATTTATTGCATTTAGTATCGCAAAGGTTACTGTCATAGTATCTCTGCTTCCTGAGTGTTATGTAACAAAATGAACTCAGATTATATTATGTATAATGATTGCTATGTAGTAATATATTTCAACAAAAGGGTGTGCAGAGTATAGAACACAGATGCCTAATTAGCAGTAACAAAACAATAAGAATGCATGTTCTTTGTAAATGCCAAAAGTGCCCCTAGATTAGCGGCACATTTATCTAGCAAATAAACTTATTAAAATCCACTCTTTTTTGAAGTGAAAAGTGAGATTTTAGCCTCTATGCATTTTTCTCCATGTGTCCCATTATTTCACTATGTCCTAGGCTCTTAAAAGCGTGTACAGTTACACCTTAGAAATTTAAAAAAAAAGAACACAGAAGTGCAATACATTTCACACCACTGTTAATTAGGGTTATTGTTATACTTTATTTCTTTTGTTTTATTGCATGCTATATTTATGCCTCTTATACTTGAGGTTAGGCTAACTAACTTTCTGACTAGGCTGTGAATGTTGATGACTTAAAATATAATTCATAATTAAATACAAATTTTGAACTAAAGGGAAATGAGTTTTATCAGTTAAAACATTATCTTACAATTAAGGGAAATTAAAGAAAAGATAGCAATTCAAACTTATTAAATTAAGTTTTGAACGATAATTAGTATTTGATTTTTCTTATGTAAATTTAGCTGAGGTGCCAGCTATTACGATTTATCCATAATTATTGTGATTTTGTAATCAAGATGACAGTGTTACGGTTTGGTTATAAAAACTATGTTTTTTTTAAAAATCTTTTATTAATAATCTGTAAAAAAATAAGCTTTTTCCTCCTTAACTACCGATAATTATGAAATAATGTTTATTGCTGTAAATATTGGGAAAAAAAGTAATAGTTAGGTGTTTATTTTCTTTTATTTAGTATTCATTTATAGCGTAATATTATTAATATTATTAATATTACGCTATACCTACATAAAATTATATAGCAAAAACAAGTTGAAATTGCATTAGTTTGAATTTTATTAATATTATGTATATTAATTGTACTTCTGATTACTAATAGCTAGTTAGGAAAGTTAGCTGCTCTAAATTAGAAAAGATAGTGAAAAAAAATATATAAATTTTTGTTGAAATATTTCTTATCTTGATTAAGAAAAAAAAAGAAAGAAAATATCTTGTTTTTTAAAATGGAACAAAAATCAAAAATGTTATGTTGTAAAAAAAAAATCAAATCTAAAGTCATCAATATTTACCCCCTATTTATGACATAAACAGCTAAACAAGTCTTAGATTATATATATAAAAAATCAAATTACGTCTCAATAGTATGTTCCTCAACTTGTTATGAAATTAAAATATTGTGAATTAGTTTAAATGAAAAGTACATCTTTATTAGATAAATGCTCATGATTTAGATGCTTTTCATAATACTGTGATTTGAGGTTATAATAGAAAAATAGTTGAATAAATTTTCATTTGCAAAGAAAAATTAGAAGAAAAAAAAAACTTCTTAATTTTATTGACGTGCATTAATTTGGAACTGTTACAAAATCATGTGAAAATATCAAGTACTCTAAAAATGTTTACATTTATTTGGATTTCATAGTTGTAGAAAAAATTTTAGTTTTATAAAGTTGGTTAATTGTTTAATTAATCAGCTTTTTAACGTTTCAGTTTGTGATTACTGCTTATGATAATGTTTTAATGATAGAATAGTACTTTATTATACCATCATGAAAACATACCGGCTAATTTATTTATATACTTGTAAGTTATAAATATAGCATTAAGTAATGTAAAATAATCAAAAGTGTTTTTTTTTATTTATTTACTTACTAATGTTTCAATATTCCTATATTTTATTCATTTTTTAAAAATTTAACTATTTTTTATTTATTTATCATCTTTTACATGAAAATACTAATTTCTTTCTTCTACTAATTGCTTAAAAATGTGAAATACTTCTGTTTTAATAACATTGTTGGACAAATCGTAAACTATTTATTCCATAACCTCTTTGATTATGTATTATAACATTATTATCCTAAATTGCTATGATAAATTATCTTTGTTTTAAATTCATTTTACTTTGTGTTTAACATTCCAGTATTTATATGTTTCTTTGTGTTTTTTACAACACATTTTTGTAAACTTTTATTTATTTCGAAATGTTTCCATTTTGCAATTTGTAATGTGTATCTCAAAATTTTTTTAAAAAAGAATTTATAAACAGTTAGATATGCAAATCATAAATAGAGTCTACATTTCTTTTATACGTATTTTAAGTATCTTATTTTAAACAAAATGATATGACACAAGTGAATGGAACGTTATTTCATATCCACTAAATATCACCAACACCCTTCCATCAATTTAAATAGCTTGTTTAAATTATTATAGAAATATAAATTTTATAAATTACATATAGTTGATTATTATTTGTTTTCATGAAAATATTTTTATAGTACAAACACTATTTTTAGTTAACTTTCAATTTCCCAGATGTTATCATAAAATTTTTCTCTTAATGCTCTCTATCAACCTTTTTGTAGATATAAATACAGTGTTGTTTATAAAATTAGTGTTTCTGTGTTCTTGGATTCTACTACTAAGGTGCTGAAATCAGCATTCTCTAAACAACGAAACTTAGACCATTTTAGTGGTCACATAGATCTTTTGAATATTTCTTACCCATCATAAACTTACTATTGTTAATGAAAGGGGAGGATCCTTTGTTGTACATTTGCCACTTAACCTTTCTAGTCTCCTATGTGTGTGTCATAGAATTTCTTATAGTGTGTATATTTGCCTGTTTACTCACCTCATGTGCATTTACTGTATATTATATTTTTATTTATTTTATTGCTTTTATTTTTATAACTAAGCAGACTTGCTAATTATTTCAAAATCCTGTTTACATAATGACCACAAATGCTTGACTTTAAAGGAGGGCAGAAAGCTGGTTCAATATTATTGTAATCTAAATAATTTGTAAAAGGAGAGTTTGTTCTTCTATATTTTTAGAAGTTAAAATCATTTATTTTTTAATTTTATAATCAATTTTGAACAATCAATGCTTTATTTAAAATCACAAAAATATTTTTTTACCACTCATTTATTATTTTATGCTGTAGTCTAATATAAATTTAAAAATAATGATATATATTCAGTAGACAACTGAAATTTGTTTAAATATCAGTAATTTTGAAATTAAGAGATTGTGCTTTAATGCTATTAAAAAATTAAACCAATTAGTTTTATTTATTTTTTTTTAATTCTATGATCCACTCAGAAAAATCAATGTCTGACATAAAAACACATGAATAAACTTTTGATTTTTTTTCTTCAAATCTCGCATTAGTTATACAATGTTATTTTTACAGCTATGTGAGTATTATAAATATAAAAACTATTGGTGTATGAAACTTGCTGTAATATTTTTTGGCAGAAAAAGAACCAGTTTTATGATCTTTTTAGAAAATACTTTGTAGTGTTCAGTACTTTAGTACCCTGGACTATTCCTGTTCAAAATGATAGTATAGCTTATTTTATGATTACATTTACTATAGTTAATCATTTAAATTTTTTTAAAAGGATAGAATATATAGTTTTGATTAGCTAAAGGTTTTATGAAATATCTTTCATTTCATACGATTTGTTTTATAATATGTACATTTTTTTGTGTTAAATTAAAAGAAATTTTTTTTTTTATTACCATTAAAAAGCTTTAATTTCAAAGACTTAATCATTTTGTTTGTTATTGAAAATAATTTTATATAAAATAAGGCAATTTTCAAATGAAGGAGAAAGTATAAATATCAAGTAATTACTAACCATAAAAATAATAAATCAGTAAATTATAATAAATCTGTAAGTAATAATAATATTCGATATCGAAATTTTATATCGAGATCGTGATATCATCGGTACGCTGCCAAAAGTGATTTTTTAAAATTTAGTGCAATTATTTTATGAAAAATTGATTAAGAATTATGTGATAAAAGTTGGAAATAAGTGGAAAATTTCTTGAATAAAAATTTGAAAGTGTGATGAGTGTAAAAAACCTTAATTTTTGACAAAACATAGACATAAAATTTCCCTTAGTCTTATAAATTAATGCTTATACAAATATCACTTTTAAACTTGGTCAGCATACCGAGGATATATGAAATCGAGATTCGAGATTGAAATTTTTTTTATGTTAAAATAGTTTTTGAAATTTACTGGATTTCGTACTAATTTTTCTGTCCATCAAGAGCAATAATTCAACATTAACAAGTATGCATAATTCAACATTAACAAGTATGCATGACATTTCCAGTTTTTCTTGTAATGAAATAATGATAAATAATTTTATTGATTTCATTTTATGTTTTATTTCTATTGATACTTTTTATTTATTTTAATATGGAACTTCAATAAATATCTATTTCAGTTCTAAGTGGTTTAAATTTTGATCCTGTTTCTTGATCTTTTTAAATTTGTTGAATTAGCAAGTCTGTTTAAATCATTTTCATTTTTTTAATTATTTTATTTATATAGTTATATTTGTTTCAAAATATATTTTATAATTTTTTAAAAGTTATTTGAAGACTGAGATGAAAAAGTATGTTTTTAAGAAAAGTGACATGTTAGATGAAAAACATAGATTATATAGATTATAAACTTAATTTTTCTGACCTTTCAGCTCAAAATATCTTTTGTACCTAAATTTATGATAACAATATTCTTATAAAAACATTACCTCTCTGTATTCAAAAGTTATTCGTATGAAAAATATTATGTTTTTTATCTTACTTTAAAAGTCTTTCATCTAACAAGTCTTGGAAGTGAGAAAAGTATAGCAATATTAAAATAAATATATATTAAAGTTTTGTTTTTAATTAATATTTTTTGACAGGAGTTTTAATTCATTACATTTTAATATTTGTTTAAGAAATATTTAGTTATAGTGCTGTCTTGCCTTTTACGGAGAAGAGACTGTTGTCTCTTCTATATAAATAATCTATGCAAATATAATGTTAGTCTCATTCTAAATATCTTTCAACATAATTTCCTTTGACGTTTTGTGCTGCCACCAAATTCCTTTTTATTCTCTTCACCTAGTAGCAATAATTTTCTATTTAGGAATTTATCTAATGTGTGTAATGTAATTTTTATAGCTTCTAATGATTTAATGGCAGCCTCTGCAGTTGTAAAAATTCAAATATGCCGACTACTATGGGTTTTCTCTAGTCATAAAAAAAAAAGTTTTTAAAATGTTTCTAAGCAACTTCAGGGGAAACTTACTGCAGCTTGTGATTTTCATAATCATTTAAAGCAAATTATTTATTATTCATGGCCAATATGTTTAAAGCTTAAAATTAACCATTTGAAGTTACAATTAAATGCATTTAGAAAACTAACACTATCTAACATCTGTTGCGTTTTGGCTTAGTTTTTCAAATATACATACATTTTTAAACAGCTGCTACTGATATTAATAACTGAACATATAACATAAAACAATTAAATGAAATATTAAATGCTGTGTAAAAAGTTAAAATTTTTCTAATCTCACCGCGTATTTTTTAAGCAGCTTATTGTGAAATTATTTTTAACTCATACATTTGAAGAATCATAAAAGCTCATATCAAGAGCGCCTCAATAAAGTTAACTCATGGAGTTTTTCTTAGTTTCATTCCTGGAAACATCTAGATTTAATATATTTTAAGCAGTTTTTTTAAATGATTTATATATAAACTCTAAATATTTGTTTTCCATTTTATTTTTTTTAAAAACTAATAAGGTTAGAATGTGATGTCTTTGTAGTAGCCTTATAATCATTGAACACATAATGTTTTAAACTAATGTATAATACAGCGACATAACTTTTTGGATAACTTATTTAAACTGGACAAAAAAATTTCTAGTATTGAATTTTTTGCCTACATTCATCTCTCTATATGTTCTTTTTTATGTTTTAATAAACATAGTCGGAGAGTAAAACTTAGCTTATCTTCCCCATTGTGTATTTTGTACCATACTTTAATTAAACCTTGAATAATTTAGATTAAAAAAAATCCCTAGAAGTTGGCATTTTTGAGAATGTATTTTATTCTATACTTCTATGTTTAAAGCCATGAAATAATAGCTTAAATGCTCAATTTCTTATTCGTAAATTTCTCTATTCTGTGCGTAATGTTTGGTGGCAGCATTTTATGTTAGAGTATACCTGAGAACTCATTTTTGTATGTTCATGAACATTGCTGTTCTCTATAGTTCTAGTCTTAAACATGGCCTACTTCATATTTTTC